TTTCGATATCTAAGCCTGTTGATATTTCGGTGTGCTCCAGGCCGTCGGGAACGCGCTCCACATCATCCCCAGCAGGAAGCAGGCCATGAACGTCCTACACGATGTCAACGGGATCATCAAGCCCCGGAGGATGACACTGCTGCTTGGACCTCCTGGCTCAGGCAAGACGACACTGCTACTGGCGATGGCAGGGAAGCTCGACAAGGAGCTCAAGGTCTCAGGGAAGGTCACATACAATGGCCACGGGATGGACGAGTTCGTCCCGCAGAGGACCGCAGCTTACATCAGCCAGCACGATCTCCACATTGGGGAGATGACCGTGAGGGAGACGCTGGCGTTCTCGGCCCGGTGCCAAGGTGTTGGCACTAGATACGGTATGCTGCCTAATTATTGGGACTATGCCATGGATGATATGCTTATGTTAGATGTGATCATGGCGATAAGCTTCGAGCTTTGCTGTTTCGCTTGTTCTAGAGATGCTTATTGAGCTGGCCAGAAGGGAAAAGGCAGCGAACATCAAGCCAGATCATGATATCGATGTCTACATGAAGGTGAGGATGTTATCAAAGTTTAGAGCATTTTATGCTTCTTAAAGTTGTTTATGTGACTAGCTTAGGATTGAAGAGAATCATTTGAAGAAGACTTGTTTATCAGTAAATTATTAGTTAACACTTGTTTCATTACTTACGCCCTGTAGGCCTCAGCTATCGGAGGGCAAGAATCAAGTATTGTGACAGAATACATACTAAAGGTATAGCAGTGCAAGGATGACTCTTGACATTTGTTTTGTTAACAGAACGGACTTCTCATGTGTGTCACGTATGTAACTGCAGATACTAGGACTGGATATTTGTGCTGACACGATGGTAGGCAATGAGATGCTAAGGGGTATATCTGGTGGACAACGTAAGCGTGTCACAACAGGTATATTTTCACCAAGAATGAGGCTCCTTTTATATTTGTACAACAAAGACTTGCGCTTTTTTCATCACAATGAAACAGTCTTGTTTAAGAAATTCCTAATCGACTTATGCATCTTCAATGCACAGGTGAAATGCTCGTTGGCCCTGCAAAAGCTCTGTTCATGGATGAGATATCCACTGGGCTGGATAGCTCAACCACATACCAGATTGTGAATTCTCTCAGGCAGACTATCCACATCCTAGGCGGAACTGCTGTCATCTCCTTGCTCCAGCCAGCCCCTGAAACATACAACTTGTTTGACGACATTATACTCCTCTCCGACGGGCAGGTTGTGTACCAGGGCCCCCGGGAAAATGTGCTCGAGTTCTTTGAGTTCATGGGCTTCAAATGCCCTAGCAGAAAGGGTGTTGCTGATTTTTTACAGGAGGTGTGTGTCTCACCTATAAATTCCTATTACAGTTGTGATTCTGTTTTTTTTAAGAAAATGGTACTGAAACATCTGAATAACTGAAAAGGTGACATCAAAGAAAGACCAGGAGCAATATTGGTGCAGGGGTGACAGGCCATATAGTTTTGTACCTGTGAAGCAATTTGCGGATGCATTCCGTTCCTTCCATGTCGGGCAGTCCATAGAGAAGGAGCTTAAAGAGCCATTTGATAGGACCAGGAGCCACCCTGCTGCTCTGGCTACTTCCAAGTTTGGTGTCAGCAGGAAAGAGTTGCTCAAAGCCACTATCGATAGAGAACTTCTACTGATGAAGAGGAACGCATTCATGTACATATTCAAACTTGTCAATGTAAGTTCATATCTTCAACGTGTTTTCCTTGATTATTAGGATGAAGATTATTAGATAACATCAATCTAAACTTTTCCATCATTGCAGTTAACTCTAATGGCATTCATTGTGATGACCACATTTTTCCGCACAACCATGCACCGCAATGTTGAATATGGAATTATCTATTTGGGGGCCTTGTTCTTTGCTCTCGACACAATAATGTTTAATGGTTTTGCGGAGCTTGCGATGACCGTAATGAAACTTCCGGTCTTCTTCAAGCAGAGGGATCTTCTTTTCTTTCCTGCATGGGCCTACACCATACCATCGTGGATTCTTCAGATCCCTATCACCTTTGTTGAAGTCGGAGTTTATGTTTTCACCACATATTATGTCATTGGATTTGATCCTAGTGTAAGCAGGTACAAAACTCATGCAGAAATCAATTTCCTTACTCAATTATATTGCTTCTTAGGCAGTTATGAATTTTTGTGAGCAAGTATTTTTAAATTATTGTTTCACAAGAAATGAACTAGCTCTGTGAAGTTTTAATGATTTCTTGTGCTCAGGTTTTTTAAGCAGTATCTGCTGCTCCTTGCAATCAATCAAATGTCATCTTCATTGTTCCGCTTCATTGCTGGAATTGGAAGAGACATGGTTGTGTCCCACACATTTGGACCTTTAACATTGTTGGCTTTTGTAGCATTGGGTGGCTTTATCCTTGCAAGACGTAAGTTACTGACTCGGACATGATAAAATGGATGTTGCCATGTTTACACGACAATGATGGAACTAAATGTTAATTGTTGCTCACATGACCATCTTATTTTTCATTTCCAGCTAGTATCAAAAAGTGGTGGATTTGGGGTTACTGGATATCTCCGCTATCATATGCACAAAACGCTCTCTCAACAAACGAATTTCTAGGACCCAGTTGGAACCAAGTAAGTCCCCTCTGCCTGCAGAAGAAATCAAACTCACCACTACATACAAATAGAAAATTCAACATGTATTCGTATTTTACAGGTTGTTAATGGAACAAATGAGACCATTGGAGTTACCGTGCTTAAGAGTCGTGGCATCTTTACAGAAGCCAAGTGGTATTGGATTGGGCTTGGTGCCATGGTTGGATACACTCTCCTCTTCAACCTGCTCTACACCGTAGCCCTTTCAGTTTTGAGTCGTAAGCATATTTAAAAGACTGCTTATTTATCAAGGACTAGATAATCAACATTTGCAGGTTATAACTTAGGCATTTACCTTATATGATAATAACTGTAGCCACTTGCTTTTCTTTGCAGCGTTGACAGACTCTCACCCATCAATGTCTGAAGAGGAACTGAAAGAAAAACATGCAAATTTAAGTGGTAAAGCTCTAGAGGATCATAAGGAAAAGAATTCTAGGACGCAAGAACTGGAATTATCTCACATTAGTGACCGAAACTCAGCGATTAGTGGTGTGGATTCTAGTGGCAGCAGGAAGGGACTAGTACTTCCATTTACACCACTGTCACTTACCTTTAACGACACAAAATACTCGGTGGACATGCCAGAGGTAAATTTCTTATCAATGAACAATGATCGCACAAGTATGATTGTGTACCCATTAACCAAGTTTGCTTACCCAGTTATAATGCTTTATATTCACAGGCAATGAAAGCACAAGGAGTAACGGAAGACCGCTTGTTGCTTTTAAAGGGTGTCAGTGGTTCTTTTAGGCCAGGAGTACTTACTGCATTAATGGGTGTGAGTGGTGCTGGAAAGACAACCCTGATGGATGTTTTAGCCGGTAGGAAAACCGGAGGATACATAGAGGGAGAAATCACCGTATCAGGCTATCCAAAGAAGCAAGAGACCTTTGCACGTATCTCAGGATACTGTGAGCAAAATGATATTCATTCTCCACATGTGACAGTATATGAATCGCTCATATTTTCCGCATGGCTGCGGCTTCCTTCAGATGTTGATTCAGAAAGAAGAAAGGTTAGTTAGCTTTGATCTAGGCAAATTATCAACTCTTGATTTCTTTTTTCTCATTTGGTTGGAGATCTCACCGGCTGAACTGTGATGCCAGATGTTCATCGAGGAGGTCATGGATCTAGTAGAGCTCACATCATTGAGGGGTGCACTTGTTGGGCTTCCTGGAGTGAATGGTCTGTCAACTGAGCAACGCAAGAGGCTTACAATTGCCGTGGAGCTTGTTGCTAACCCGTCGATCATTTTTATGGACGAGCCAACATCTGGTCTTGATGCTCGAGCAGCTGCAATTGTGATGAGGACTGTCAGGAACACTGTTAACACTGGTAGGACCGTTGTTTGCACCATTCACCAGCCAAGTATTGACATATTTGAAGCATTTGATGAGGTGGTTATTCATTATTCCCTATTTCAGTTATTATCCTTAGCTTTATTAAGGTCGTATATTGACTATGTACGGCTGCAGCTTTTCCTAATGAAGAGAGGGGGAGAAGAAATTTATGTTGGTCCTGTTGGACAAAATTCATCAACTTTGATTGAGTATTTTGAGGTAAGAAGATTAAATCAACAGTGCTACTGCAGTTTGCACTCTTGTTACCAGCTAGATCACGTCCAACATTCCTTGTGTATGTTTGTTCAGGAAATTGAAGGCATTAGTAAGATAAAAGATGGATATAACCCAGCAACGTGGATGTTGGAAGTGTCCTCTAGTGCCCAGGAGGAAATGCTGGGTATTGATTTCGCTGAAGTTTACAGACAATCAGAACTATATCAGTAAGCTTCCCCACAAGCCATCCGTATGCAGTGTAGCTTGAGTGACATTTCTAACTACCTTTCATTTTCGCAATTTCAGAAGGAACAAGGAACTCATAAAGGAGCTAAGCATGCCACCTTCTGGCTCTAGAGATCTCAACTTCCCTACACAGTACTCTAGATCATTCGTTACACAGTGTCTAGCTTGCTTGTGGAAGCAAAACTGGTCATATTGGAGAAACCCATCCTACACAGCAGTGAGATTACTATTCACCATCGTCATTGCTCTAATGTTCGGAACAATGTTCTGGGGCCTTGGAAATAAAACGTACATCTCCTAACTGTTACTATAACTTTTTTGGGCATACAACTGTTATTAGAACTGCTTCTATACTTTGGATATAGAATCTACTTCAAGTAAGATATATTCTGACGCCTTACTCATATCACGATGCAGTCGAAGCCAGCAGGACTTATTTAATGCCATGGGATCAATGTATGCTGCAGTACTATACATCGGTGTGCAAAACTCTGGTTCTGTTCAACCAGTTGTCGTGGTGGAGCGGACAGTCTTTTACCGGGAAAGAGCAGCTGGCATGTATTCAGCTTTTCCATATGCATTTGGACAGGTAATTTCTTTGACCCTCGGTTTACCTATTTCAGGGCATATGTATGAATGACCTTTGAGAATGCAAATTCTCTTGCAATCTAAGTCACAGCTGCGGTTGGGGCAGTTTATCATGGATCAGTTTATCAACATTCTTGAGCTATATCAGTCCTGGAACCTAACAATGCCACGTTATCCCTTTTCTAGGTTGCGATTGAATTTCCATACATCATGGTTCAGGCTTTGATATATGGCGGGCTCGTCTATTCCATGATAGGATTTGAGTGGACAGTTGCCAAGTTCTTGTGGTACCTGTTCTTCATGTACTTCACCATGCTATATTTCACGTTCTATGGAATGATGGCTGTAGGCTTGACACCGAATGAGAGCATAGCAGCTATCATCTCATCAGCATTCTACAACGTATGGAACCTCTTCTCAGGATATATAATCCCGCGACCTGTAAGTTACACTTACATTTTCTTTTCTTTTGTGTAAACTTAATACTTACCGGTCACATTACTCATCCATTGAACTTTTACTTCAGAAACTTCCTATTTGGTGGAGGTGGTACGCATGGATTTGCCCGGTGGCATGGACGATGTACGGACTGGTTGCCTCCCAGTTTGGTGATCTCCACCATCCGCTCGATACGGGAGTCCCAGGCCCAAAGATAACTGTGGCCCAGTTTGTCAGGGACTATTATGGCTTCCATCATGACTTCTTGTGGGTTGTGGCGGTGGTGCACGTTGCTTTCACCGTGTTGTTCGCCTTCCTGTTCAGTTTCGCCATCATGAGGTTCAACTTCCAGAAGAGATGAGGAGGACGACATTCTTTCAGATTTCTTGTACGTACTGTCAATCTGTCATACTACTGTCCAACCACTAGTGTGGATGGATTGAGCTAAGTATAGTTGTTCCTGTAAATGATATAAAGGTTATTTTGTATTTCAAGCCTGTAGAAATTCGCACATCCATGCTTTGTATCTGTAGGATTCATAGGAAAGACTAATTAGCCTTGTTGAGCCTCCAGCTTCTTCACCAGCTCTAGCTGAGTAGCTGCTACTTTACTCGTCCGAGAATGTAAAACGTGACCAGTAATGGTGTCATTTCTGACGAGTTAATGGAGGCAGAAATTTTGTTGATACTTCAATCCCTTGTCAAACTTTGAATTGCTGACCAAATATTATGAAGCAATTGTTTCATCTCTAGATTTGTTGGGTTACTTGGTGGCCATGCACATGTTTCCTTGGGTGACTATAACTTCGCTCTGCTAACCAAGTGGCTGGCAAGTGGACCCAGGGAGTTGTACTCTCTCAATTTGGGTTCTCCCGATAGAGTTTGCTTGTTGCCGCCAAATCCGGTTCCCACTCTGCTTCGCAGCCTCCATGTTATTTTACGATGAGGTAGCGGCCAAGTCAGGCCAGTTTCATCAATCCGTCATATCTAGGCCTTGTTTGGCACAAGGGTTTTTCAAGCCCCTTTGGGGCTGGGGATTTGGTGAATCCCTCCCTTTCACCCAATCCCCTCAAATCCCCACTAACCCCCAACCTCTCTCATCCCCATTCCCCTTCCTACATAAATCATGCTTGGTAGGCAGAGATTGCCATACTGAGATAAGATAATGCAAACAGTTAAAATCCAATTTTTGCAAGTTAAACAACATCAAAGCAAGAAAAAATTGCTACAAAACTGCAAAATCCATACATAAAACCAAGCATCTTGTTACCAAATTGATACTGGCGAGGAGTATGAGTATTACAGATTAGTGAAAACATAGATATCGGGAATGGAACATAGGGTAATCCATCGATAGCACACTTCATGACAAGAGAAGCAGGTCCTAAAAAATTTATGTTACAACAATGTTTAACAAATTTAGCCATGTAGCAGGTTAAAAATATCAGAGGATATGTGGAAAAAGAACATGCTCTCTTAATCCAGAAATTATTTCTCAAAACTGGGTAGTAGTTTGAAAAGAAAAAGATTTCAAGATACATGCTACTTTCCCACATGCGAATGAATTTCAGTGATGTCACAGTTACAAGTTTGAAGCAAATTATTAGTGTTGGTCCCATTCAAATTTCAGATTAAGCTTCCTAGATTATGCAGGCAAGGGCAGTGCAGATTTCAGTATTGAATATGACCCAATATCATTCACAAAGGCGTTGAACTGGTTGATGAAAACTAAATATTTAACAGTAAACAAAGTGAAATCGAATCAGTTTACCTCGCACCTATTGTCAGTTTGCATGTAAGTTCTGAACATGCAAGAACAGTGTTATATACTTTCCAAGATTTCATAATCAAGCTTGATTCCACCTGACACTGAAGTATATAAACATCAATTTCAGTAAGGTACATTTAGTAATAGGTAAAAGAAATGACATGCATATACAGTTTTTTTTCATAAGGCGATTTTTGAAAAATAAAATACCCCTTATATGTATAATTTTTTACTTGTAGCCTAGCAGCATTTTCTTAATCAGTTTGGAAGCTCATGCTCGGTTTCGCATGAGAGCATACTGAATTTTCAGTTTACACACATGATGCTTATGCCCGTCAGTTGTGTTGAAGCAGCAAAACATGCCAGGTCCAGCCTAGTGCTAAAAAGACTAGAAATACAGTGGGAATCAAGGCCACTGCATGACTACTTCAGAGACAAGGCAATCATTGCAATAGCTATTATCTATATCAAATCTGAATAAAAAAAGATAAGACCTCATGTATGAGCTAACACTGTTCTTGAAATAAGAAAGAGACAGAATCATTGATTCTAGTACAAAAGGGGCAATTTCCCAATGCCAGTAGCCATGCCTGTAACAGTTATATTACTTGCTCGTCTCTGCTTATCAAAGAACTAGGTTCCATCAAGTACTACTAAATACTAATACAAATATGTCTCTAGATAAGTAGAATCTCCACATACAAAGAAACAAAGAAAGAGGGAGGAGAAAAAATCGTGTAGCCATGAGTCAACAGGCAATATACCAAAACTAAAAAAAATGTTTGGAATGACTAGGGAGGCTGCACTGGATAGTGTGACATTTTAATTATTCACAATGACTTAGTGAAGGGAAGGCGTACTGGAGAAGCTCAATGGGTAGGCTACAGCAGCAACTGCCAACAAATGTCAATGTAAATGCTACTTGATCATCCTTAAAGATATATCACAGGAAATTAGGAAATACAAATCATATTGTTCTCAACAATAACAAAGTTGCTTGATAGTTGAAGAGCAGCTCACTGATCACATGATACAAACTGCTGCAAACTATTGCCATACTTTAACAAACTTCTATCCCAGTCCATCATTGCTTAATTAAGAAATAAAGTCCCAAGTACAAAACTTGCGGATGACTGAAAAATAAGCTTTTATTTATATTCTGATTGATAACATCATTATGTGTGAACATGCTTGCATGTACTCTAGAGGAACTTATGCCCGACTTTCAAACTGGAGATGCCTAAACATCTACATGTTGAGGTGGACTAAGATGTCAGCATAAATTTATACTAGAAAGGTATCTTTTGGTGGTATAAAGATAAGATGAATTTTATTTGCGTTTCAAGCTCTTGGTTGTATTGTACATTAAAGTGTTGGCAAATATTTCAGGGTCCATCTCACAACTTGCTCGACACATTACCAGCTGGGAAGAGATGAAAATAGAAAGAAAAGCAATCATAAAAAGTACAACTACAGGCAGAATAAGGCAAGAAGGATGATAACTTTCACTAATGAAATTCAGAACTAAAGAGCCACAGGCTCCTGGTCCTACCAAACTTCACAAAGCTGTCCTACAGTTTGCTCAAATCCTGAACTAAAAACATTGTATTGCAGTTCCCCATCCACAAATGGGCTGGCTAGCATGTGCATTGCAACGAAAATTCTTTAATCAACAAGTTTCCCCAACAAATTTCGAAGCACATCAGCAGCAGCAGAAAGTACCGGTCGCATCAAGAATCTGACCTAGAAATTAAGGAAGAGGGAGAGGAGAAGCTAACTAGTGGGCGTTAGAGGTAGGGGGCGACGCAGGAGATGGCTCACTATAGCGCCATCGCCCCCGAACTAGCGCCGGATAGATGTGTCGCCGTCG